CAGAGAATCAAAGAGCTTTTCCACAGCTTGGGTATGTGTATCTCTCATAGGAAATGGCTGCTTATTAACAAATAGTTATATCTCAAATAAATATCTCAAGAAGCTGAGCACTGTGGAAGCACGGCCAAATTCAGGTGGAAAGACACAGAATTGGGCTGCTTTAAATGCACAACCATCCTACACTTGGCAAAGAAAACGCCGCCTTCAGCACCCTTCCAGCCAAACAGGCAGACACTTACCAGCTCCTCAAGAGGATGGTTGCAGCCACCAGCATCGGGGTAGATGGTCCTCTCCTTCTTCATGCCCTGCTTGTCCCTCTTCGGGGGTCGGGGCTGGTACCCGGTGCCAGAGATGGGGGGTGCCACGGGCCTAAGTGTGGGGGCTGCTTCCTGCCGTTTGTCCAGGGGTCGGTGGCTTCGAACATCAACCTGAGGGCTGTCCTCCTGCAAAACCGGGCAGAGAAAGATCTCTGAGCCTGGGCTGAAGCCTTTCTGCAGCTAAGGCCCATCCTGGAGAGAACGCTGCCCCTGCGAGGCCACTACTTTGCCAACAGACACAGAAGGCCATCTTAACCACGTCACTTCTTTGAAAATCTTCCATCATCTTTAGCCTGGAAGTCTAATAGGCTGAGCAAGGAGCCCGAGCCATCTGTTGAAATGAAGCCTTTCGAATCATGGAACAACTGCATCAAAATCTTCAAACGCCTCCAATCCCATTAAGACTTAGCTAAGAATAGCAGAAAAGGGTAAGAATTAGAGACTTCAAGGAGTTAGAGATGTAGGCAGCATGCAAATCACAAAATGGATGCAAAAGGCTAAGCAAGGTAATCTCACCAGCAGTCAATGCAGTCACGTAAACACATCCTACAACAGAAAATAATCTCACTGCTGGTCACCCTGACCTATTTCATTTTGGCTGGGATTTTCAAAGTATAAAAAAAACAAATACTAAAAATATAAATAAAATTTCTCATTAAAATATTTTACTCAAAGCAAACTTAAATATAGGTTAAATTGTTACTTTAGATTGATCCTCGCTGCTTACCTTTTGGTTTGACAATGATCACCTCTCTCTTTCAAACATTAGTCACGTTTATAATTTGGAAATTCATTCTTTTTTTTAAATGTCTGCTGAATCCGTAGGAAAAATAAATCCCATCTTTTAGGCAGGACGCAAATACACATTTCTATGCCTTTGCACAACACGGAGGAATTGTCTCAAACATCACTGGCCAGCATTACTAAATAAATACCCTTAAACACATTAAGCTAAATAACTAATCTTACCAATTTCCATTCTGTATTTGCACAAAGAAAGAAAGGAAATAGAAAGTATATCCAAAATCGAAAAATAGCGGTAGCATAGTAAGATATACATGAAGAAATAATTGAAAGATTATTTCTTTGAGCCACAGAAGAATATACATGTATCATTTTCTAACTGAGCTAACTCACACAAGCCAAGTAAGCCATGCATACAATTAAATAAAATTTATCATTCTCACTCTTATTTTCATCAATTCTAATCAGTATTACAACCTCATTATCATAGTCAACAGATGCCTGGGGTTTAATGGCAGGGATGCAGAGCAGGAGCAGCAGGAGCAGCTTCATAGTGCTGCCTGCTTGAGCTGCTCGCTGACCTCCCGTCAGCAGCTCTGACAGAGTGAGATCCACTATGTTCCTATATATGCATATGGCCACGCCAATTTTTCAGCTTGACAGTGATAGGATGAACCCTTCAGAGCAATCACTGCTCTGTTAATATTTAACCTTTCTCTTCTCTGTGTGCCTGAATACAGTTGATGTTGAGCAACTTCTCTGGACAACTCTTATCTGCGTGTCCCGGAGACCTCTGTGGCTGCTGGCATTGACTAAACATTTAAATCCTTAAAAGTACGTCCTACACAGGTTACACAAGATTACCGTATTCTCAAAAGTCACAAGTCTTGTAAAACAGCTCAACAGGTGAATGTCCAAAGAGAAGAAATGCTGTCAAACAGGGACTCTGACATCTCCTTGCTTGTTTTTTCTCTGCTGAAAATTTGAATGCTTCAGAAATATCATATTAAATTTGAATTAAATTTATCTCATACCGAACATCATGGTCTTCTAAGCAGGTCTGATAGGACCCAGGTAGATATGCAAGCCTTTGGCCTCTTTCAGTACAGTACATCTGGGTAAATTGTTTTTTTCTCATGAGGAAGCAGATGTAGTACCTCAATGGATATTGTAAAAATTCACATTGATAGAAGATTGATGTTTTATCTTTACTGATAAGCTCCCTTGTGCACTATGTGGTTAAAATATCTTCAGTAGCATCTTAAAATAATACGGTATGAAGTTATTTGTAATCAGTAGTGAAATAAACAAACGCTTTCTGGTGCTTTTTAAGAATATGACATATTGCTGCTCTCGTGTAAATGGTTTTAACATTTCAGTGTCTGCATATCCTATGCATCTCTCATGTATCATGAATTATAAATAACTGAGTTATAGTGAATTATTCAAGTGTGCACACATCTCTTTGATATCTGAAGATGTTAACAGAAGCAAGTTATGGGCTGAACTTCCATTTCAGAGACCAAATGGATGGAGAGGTTAATTTTGTGACAAACAAAAACAGAAATAGCTAAAATTGCTTGTTTTAGGCCTTTTTCCTGTATTTGTGCTGTTGTCAGAATTCTGGTAAACTACTGAGATTCCCGAAATACAAGAAAACAGTTTAACCTGACTAGTTTAATCATTAAACAGCTTGGCCCAGAATTGGCCATGGCTCAAGAAGCTCTTACTCTCCTGAATCTGATCCCTTGCAAGACAACATCTCTAACTCTGTTAGATTTGGAAGAACACAAATTAAGGGAACCTGTCTCTGGCCAAAACTGTTGTCATTACCATGTTATTTATACGTACATATAAGAGCCAGTTAAGTGCCAGTCAAGACACTGTTTGCCCATCACTATTACTGTTTCTGAGCATTCCTCAACCTTAAATGCAATTTTCATCACACCTGGCGGAAAGTTCAGTCACCACCATTCCATGTGTAAGGCAGAGGCACAGTGATGCGAGCCTCTTGCCCAAGGCTTACAGGTAGGGGAACAGGGGAGATCTAACCTGGGGTCCCACTAGCCCTGAACAAGGAACTTGCCTTTAAATTATCCTTCCTTGGTCCATATGAATCTTAACAATATTCGTCTTGAATTTATTCTGAAACCACCACCATATTCTGCAGCAACTGTAGGTGTCCTTTTTCAGGCACTCAATGATCTTTGGTCTGTGGTGGCCAAAGGTGGCTGCATCCATGCCGAGCATGTTTGGCCTGGGAATCCCCCAGCTTCATCTGCCTTCTGATAGGATTTCCCCTATGAAATTCAGCCTTTGACTCTCCCCACTCCAGTACTTTCATTGGCTTCCCAAAGAGGGTTAGCCAGCTGTGCCTACCAAGGGAATTACCAGGAACCACAATGAATGAGCCATATGCCTATTGTGCCAAGGCTTTGATGCTTGCAACCGTTACAGCTAGGCTGACACTGTATGAGGACTGGATAAAGCCTTATGAACAACCAAGAACATGGATTTATCTTCTAAAAATGGTGTCAAGGAGGCTTTCTCTCCAAATAAAACACCTTTTTCCATGTGTTTTCTTCACTTCCTCCCCAGCTCACACGGTTAATGAGAAGTTCTTCCTGAACTCACATAGTGGTGATACTACAACAACTCTGCTACGAAAAGAAAGCACTGACCCGATGATGTTCCAGGACATCTCTTTGTACACTGCTTTTGTCCTAGAGAGCTACTTACTGGCAGAGGTGTATGTGTGTGCTTTTAGGAATGAAATTTTGTGTGCTGCCTCTCATGTTTGCTTTGCCAAATCATCTGCCCATGGTGCAATGCTCTTTACACAAACCCCATCCTTGTATGTTGGCTCCTCCAGCCTGAATATGTTCCAGAGGCAGTTTTGGTGAGGGGGAATAGAGCCTTCTTGGACTGCTATCAGTAAATGTAATTTTGAAAGGAATCCAGTTGTTAGCAGTTGATTTAGAAACGTCCTTTGAACACACTGGTATTGTACATGTCATACTGTGACAGGAGTACTCCAGAATTAGATGTTCTTCTCAGGTGTCCTCTTTCCTTCCCTTTACTGGTAACAAATTATTTCAAAGGCTTCTCGTAAATGAGAATTAACGTTATGTTCACATTCTGGAAGTAAGCAAATTTTTAAACACATATGAGGGGGGCATCTATTTTGGTCATTAAGACAACACTGAAGTGTATGCAATGCGCCTTTTATCTTTCCATTAGGGTAAAAAATGACACGGCTTGTTCTTCCTGGAATTACAGCTAGAGCTGACACGCAAGAACACATCAAGTAGAAACACATCACATTGGATTTGAAAAGGACAATGAATAAATTAGTGAATACTGCCAGCGTGGTTTAACAACTGCTTGGAATTAACCTGCTAGGAGATGAAATAATACATACATGTAACACAGATAAATTTGACCTTTCATGTTTTAAAGCGTTGCAAGGACATCAAGGGATATGACTCCATCCCTAATAAGCACCTGAGGGGAATCCTCACTTATCGAAACAGAGAGTAACTACAGGGCTTTGTAAAACCTAACGATGCAGTAGTGAAGAGCATACGTACGTGAAGTTTCCTTACAAAATACAGATTATTCTTTTCCGGGATGGCTACAAAGGTCTGTATTCCAAGGCAGGTTTTCCTTTAAAGATGCATTAAAAATGGGCCTGATTCACTTCAGCTAAACGGCAGAACGCAAAGCGCCAAGCCTGGGCTAAAAAAAAATAATAATAATAATAATAATAATTAAAAAAAAAAAGCGAACGCGGTCACGTGACGTGGACCGACGCACTCAGCGCACGTCCCCGCCCACCGCCGCCCGGGATCCCTCCTCAAGCGCAACATCGCCCTCTGGTGTTGGAGACCCCCGGCTGCAGGCCGCGCAGGGCTCCAACCTCCACGGTGCCTCGGGGCGCGCAGCCCGGCGCCCGCTCTGCGCGTCACTTCCGGTGAGGTACGGCAGGCGCCGGAAGTGCCTCCATAGCTGTCGGCGGGGAGAGGGGAGCGAGGAGCGACGGCGCCATGGTGGAGGTGAAGGCGGGTGGGGGTTCGCGGGGTGGGAGGCGGGCCCCTGGCGGTCCCTCACGCCGCGTCGCTGTGGGGATGGTCCGCCGCCGTGCCTCTGCCTGCCCGGGCCGCTCCTGCTGCTCTCGGGAGGCCGGCGGGGCCTTTCGCCGGTCTCCTGGCAGCGGCGCGGTGTAGCGGGCTCGAAGGCCTGTGTCAGCTCTGTTCTTCTGTCACTGAAATGCTGTTGGTAGGACAAGATGCCCAGCAGCTGCCCCTTGTAATAGTCTTTTTACAGAGTGTCATCGCTGTCCAAAGCTATCTGTGTTTAGCTCCTGTTGTGGAGGTATTGCGTTACCTACTGCTCCTGTTGCAATAAGCAGTCGTTTGCTACCGTAATTCCTGCTCTTTTTTTCAGTCACACGGAATTCCTAGCTTCCTAGCCCTACTAGAGATGTTCTTTTCTTGAATTGGTATCTGGAGTTTGCAGCACCTTCCTGAGCAAAAAGCTTCATGCAGGTCTGCTGCGATAGGGGAATGTAAAGTGTGGGTCGATGAGTGGGCAAACAGAGTTTGGGACAGGAAAGCAGAGCTCAGTGGAAGAAACTCCAGTGTATGGAGCATGGAGGCTGGGCAGCTGAATGATTCTGGAGCTAGAAGTTGTTAATGTGGCTTACAGTCTGTTGCTGCTATTTGTGACATGCAGAACAAGTACAAGAAGTTTCAGTTTTGTGTACTGAACAAAGAGGCTCATACTCTGTTTAGATTTATTTATTTTTTTGTGCCCTGGGAGGAAGGTAGGAATTAAAATTATAATTATGTGATGCTAAGTAAATATTCTGTGTAAGTTAATAGCTGGCTATATTTTGAGTAGATCTTGAATTAAAACAACTAACAGATAGACTTAAATTTTTGGTTTGTCAGAGCAGCAGTGTTTTCTTTGACATAGAGTTATATCATATGTAAGTCTGAAATTGCTACTCAATTTATTTTTCAGATTTCAGTTTTTCCTTTAAGCATGGCTAAATTTATTTAAATATGCTTTATTTTAGGAAGTCCAGAAGCACTCTGTGCACACACTTGTGTTCAGGTCTTTGAAGAGAACCCATGATATGTTTGTAGCTGATAATGCCAAGCCTGTGCCGTTAGATGATGAAAGGTGAGTACTGTGGCTGAGTTGTATTTTGTTAGTGATGGCTCTATCCAAGCAGGAGTTCAGATGTTTAGTGCAATTAGCAGTTAAGGGAATTAAAGAAAAAAACAGAAAGATTGCAATGTTAGCTGTATTAGGTGTCTCCTGTTTTTAAAATATTTCAAAACTTCATAGCAGTCAAAAATCAGGGTTTCATCAGGATTGTGCTCTGTTTTCCAACAGCCACAAAGTAAAGATGGCAGTGAAGCTGCGTACTGAGTACGGCTCAGTGTTGCACATGCCTACACTTAAAGAAAACATGAGAGAGAAAGGAGGCCCAGCTACTGGGGATCCATATGGACATAAACAGTATTCCGGAAATGAAGGTTTGTTAATCCTAGCAGTGTGTTTGTTAATCTGTTGGATGTAGAAGGAAATAAAAATAACTGGTTTTCCTTGCGAGAGTCACAAGAGTTAAGTGATTCAGAATGAGGAGAAAGTTTGTTTCCACAAGGAAATAGTAGGAGACTTAACTGATTAGTAAAACAAGTGTGTTTTAAGGTAATGCTGGTATGTGCTGTATTTGGGTATTAGAAGGCTGATAAAGGTTGACGACGTGTCATTTTGTTGTTTAGTTTTGTTTTTTCGTATAATTTGTTCAGACTTCCTCAGCTGTGCAACTATTAGAACAGAAAAATCATTAGTTGGAAAGCGCTTTGGTTAGGTTATATGAAATAAGGGTGCATTGGGCTGATCTGTATAGAAACTTCTGAAGCATGTCCAATGACTTTTTATTTTAGCTGAGGATTTATCTTACAAAACACGTCTGTTTGAAGATATTCTGTGACTGAAGAACATTGAGGGGCTGGAAAATACTTAAGGAAACAAACTTTTGCTTGCATTTTTCTTTTCCAATGTCAGGCACACTTATTGGCCTTGAGTAGCTTGTGTCAGACAATCATACTGTTTGTGTAGTTGGCTCTTCTTGCATCTACTTCAGAAGGCATCTTTGACAGCATGAGCATCTTTCTCATGGGAGAGAGATTGTTCCTGTTGGTAACAAATGGTGCGACCGTTTTTAAAAGGCTGAGCTCTGGAAATCTGAGATAACCACAACAACTAAAATCAGTGTCAATAAAAGGTTTGTAAGTGTATTACAATAGAAATGATTGCTTCTGCTGCTTTGCATCACCTACTCTGTTGTACTCAATTGTGTTTGAATGCATTATTTTGTTGATCTTTAGGAGAAGAACTGGAGTATGTGATAACTGGCACGCATCCATACCCACCTGGGCCTGGTGAGTAAAATTCTGTGTTTCAGTCAGATATGTCAAGGTGAAACTGAAATGTTTTTTGTTGCTATTTCTTGTTTTTGCCTTGGCATCTGACAGGAATATTATCTTTGTTGTCAACTGCCAGAACATTGGCTAGGGAAAGAAACAGAGAGCTGAAAGTAGAATAAACTCTCCAGTCTACACCAAAGATATACTTTGAAAAATGGTTTTGGGCTTGGTTTTTTTTTTTTTGTTTGTTAGTTTGATTTTCCTAAATTAATCTACTCTTCTTAGGACGAGAGCAGAGATTACAAGCTCTCCTCAATAGGAAGAGATTAAATGCTCTCCTCATTAGGAGTAAACCTTTCACTGCCCCAGGATATCTGCAGTTATGTAGAGACTGTATAGTAATAAATAGTGCTGAAAGGGCAAGACAGCAAATACTTGTCAAAATATTGTTTCTGTGGTGTTTGGAGTTCACAATGGTTGAGGCTGGATAAAAAGCATAGCTATTGCTTGCTTGTTTGTTTCATTTCTGATGGCAGAATCATACTATTTTCTACTCCAGAAACTGTGTGCTTCTGGAGGTAGTAGAATCATGATGGAATAGATTTGGACCAGAATAAAAATTACTGTAGATTTGACTCCAAGAATAGCATTGAATGATGGTGTTTAACATTACAAGTGAACGATATGTCCTTGTACACAGGGGTGTGTGTGAGTAAATGTGTTATGTAACACCTGTTCCTGAATTTTCTTTTTAATGGTTGCCTTTGCTTTTGCTGTGTTGTTTTTTCTAGGTGTGGCTCTGACAGCAGATACTAAGATCCAGAGGATGCCTAGTGAATCTGCAGCTCAGTCCTTAGCTGTATCTCTTCCCGCTTCTCAGTCCAGGTGCTGCTGCAGTACTTCATTCATGTTTGTATAATCTACAAGAATTACAAGGCAAAACAAAGTACTTTGAGTATTCAGCTTTGTCAAATATCTGAAAAGCTGATCGAGTGGTTGGCAACCCTGCCTGTGGCAGGGGGTTGGAACTAGCTGGCCTTCAAGATCCCCTCCAACTGAAGGCATTCTGCGATCTGATTTTAAGGTGGCCAGGCATCACCTTGGTGTAGCAGCGTTTTTTCTTGGCTATCTCTAGAGGCAATGGACAGGAGGGGGAGAATGGGGAATTTAGATCAAATAGCAGACAGAAAGAGGGGCTTGGTTTGCAGGTACTTGTTGCATTGAGTTGATCAGACACTGGAGCAGGCTGCCCAGAGAGGTTGTGCAGCCTCCATCCTTGGAGATGTTCAGGACTCAGTTAGACACTGCTCTGTGATAGCTTCTCACTTCTTAAAATGCAGAGCTGATTTTGGTCAGTTGACTGTTCTCATTCAATGTAGGTTGGATGCTAATCGGACAGCTGCCGGTGTGGGAGAGATTTACAGACATGCTGGGATATCTGAGCGCTCACAGCCTCCTGGGATGTCTGTGGTGAGTTTGTTGCATGTCTAATGTGAAATATTGGCAGGTGCTCTTTGGTTTCATTTCTGTACTGTGTGGAGATCTCCTTGCTAGCTAAACTTCATTGGTGTTGAGATGTCAGGGCAAGAAAGTTTTAAATTTTACTTGAAGAGGTAAGTTATGAAATATTTGCCTTACTTGAAAGGTGTAATTTTTTGTTTACAGGCTATGATGGAAGCTGGCGGAACCAAAAATTCTGCATTAGTACCAAAGAAGGCTCCAACCATGCCCAAGCCTCAGTGGCATCCACCTTGGAAACTGTACAGAGTAAGTTGCAAACTTACATTGCGAACACCAATGTGAAAATGTATGAATTAAGTTCCATTAGGGTTTTGTTTGAGCACTGTTCATCTAAATATAATTCTCTGTGTAACCAGAGCTTCAGAAAAATCTTCAGAATGCTGTAGTGTCAGGTAAATACAAAGCTAATTGTTAAAAGCAGTTTTTCCTGGGAACACTTGAACACAAAGGAGTATGTGTTGATTCTGCATACAGCAGTGTGAGAACACCTCTATATGGAAACAGAGAAATTGCACTTCAGTGCAGTCTGCAGAACTGCGTGTGTTGAAGCATTGTGATATGGTTGTAGAAACTTCTTTGTAGGAGCAGAGACTTTCCCTATTGCAAGTTTCCCAGGTGTGATGTAGGGCATGTAAATTTCCAGTGGTCCCATCATTTAACTGAAGTAGAAAGAAAAATAATGCTCTCTTCAAATCTAGTTTGAGATTTGGTTGGTTTTTTAGTTTGTGTCTTTGTTTTTGTAGAGCATGTGTTTCTTAGCTAGTTCTGACAGATTCAGTGTTGGAATGGGGGCTGTGCTTTGTGATATGTGGCTGTTATTTCAGATTTAGGAATTCTTTTCTTTTTCTGAAGGTTATCAGCGGTCACTTGGGCTGGGTGAGATGCATTGCAGTAGAACCAGGAAATCAGTGGTTTGTTACTGGCTCTGCTGACAGAACTATTAAGGTAAGAGGCTGGATGAAGTTAGTAGCAAAGGAAGCTGTGAAGGTTTTAGTTTTTCAATATTTAAAAACTTCTATAACCCTTGGGGAAAAAAAAAGGTCTCGGTTGGTATAGACAGAATGCTGTGCACACAGCTGCAAAATATTTTTCTTCAGAGTCAGAAATGGAAGAAAATTTGTGGAGTATCACTAATACTTGAGATTTCATTTGTTGTATGTTAGCAGCTGGAGAGCAAATGTTTTGGTTACTGTGATTTTTAATGTTAATTGACCTTACTGCATGTTACCTGGACTGTTTGCCCACACTATTGCTCTGTAACTTCTAATTGTCTACCTCAAACTACCTATTTTGGTGCAGATTTGGGACCTTGCTAGTGGCAAGTTGAAATTGTCTTTGACGGGGCACATTAGCACTGTACGAGGTGTGATAGTAAGTGCAAGGAGTCCTTACCTCTTTTCCTGTGGAGAAGACAAACAAGTGAAATGCTGGGATCTTGAGTACAATAAGGTAAGCTGTAGTTTCTGACATTGGAATTAACTGGTAGTGGCAAATGTAAAAATAAAAGCGTTTGAAATACTGTTTTAAATGTTTGGTTAAAACATGCATGTTTTTAATTCGTTTAGGTTATCAGACATTACCATGGTCATTTAAGTGCTGTCTATGGTTTAGACTTGCACCCAACAATAGATGTCCTGGTGACGTGTAGCAGAGATTCAACAGCACGAGTAAGTATAACTGTGTGTTGGAGCACCTTCCGTTTGTAAAAGGGGCTAGTTAGCAGGGGCTGAGAACACGTACTAAAAGGAGAACATGACAGTTCATGTTAACTTTGTCTTCCTTTGTAGATGAAAAAACTAAGCCTTCAATTGTACCCCAAAAATTGTACTCCAAATTATTCCTTAATTTATTAGATAGGCTCCCTAAATGTACAGGATTACTCTGTGTGATTTATGTGCTTATCCAGAGATCTAAAGGTTGACCCACTTCTCCCCTTGAAATTTACCCACTGGGGCAGTTCATCTTCTGAACAAAACAATTTAGATACCTAAACGTATGGCAAGGAGTTAGCATCATCCATTGCAGTGTCTAGAATTGATAACATACACACCCTTCTTGGCCTGTTTGCTTCTTTTTTTTTTTTACTGTGGTTTCATAGATTTGGGATGTGAGGACAAAAGCTAGTGTGCACACGCTCTCAGGACACACAAATGCTGTGGCAACAGTGAAGTGCCAGGCTGCAGAACCACAAGTTGTTACAGGTAGAGTGGACATGATTTTGCAAATATCATAAGTAATAAACCCAATCTTAGCTGTATTTGTCTTGTATTTCTGTGAGGTTCAAGCCTTTTCTCTTTGTTCATTTATTAAATTCATTTCTCATTCGCTTTCTTTTGAAGATGGGCCATGCAGTGGTTAACTGTAGCATCAATAGTGTGACATAAGGAAGTATGGCTATGTATTGTTTGAATGTCTTTCTGCATTTCCCATGCCATAGTTCATAAAAAGTGCATCTTTTCCATTATGTCAAAATTGGAGCTGCAGCAGCAGGGATCCATAAGCAGGGGATTTCTCAGATACTGAAAGGATAGAAGGTAAATTCCTTGCCCTGAGCTCTGTCCCCAAAGGGCTTGTGTTTGGATGGGCTGGCATCCAGGGCCTGCTCTGCCACAGCTTTCTCTGGAGAGGAGCAAAGGGCAGTAGGTTATCTGGCTTTGAAAATAATGCCCTGCTGAACTGCATGCTTCTCTTTGAATTTCAAGCTGTGCAAAAAGCTATCACAACTCAGTGCCTTTCTTTTCTGAAATGGAATTAATGCCATAATTTCCTAACAGAAACATCAATGATTTTATATTTTTCACATATGAAGTTTTGTCTGTTTTATGAGCACAATAATAAAAATAGAATGAATAGTGGGATTTTTTTATTTCATTACAGGCAGCCATGATACTACCATACGGCTTTGGGATTTAGTGGCAGGGAAAACTCGTGTTACTTTAACAAACCATAAGAAATCTGTAAGAGCAGTAATACTACATCCAAGACAGTAAGTTTTCTTCATTCTTTTACCTTCTCATAAATTCATGGTGTGGTGCTGGAAGGCCAGTGTGGGCCCTGATTAGGAGTAGCAGGGCATAATAATGAGAAAAAAAACAAACAAAAAAACACAAACAAACCCAGGAAGCATATAATGCTTAAAAATGTATATATCAGTAAGCTATTTGTGTAGCACCTTTACTGCTCCTGGCTTCCCAGGATTTGGTTCTCATACTCAGAATATATTAAAGTGCACAGAATTTCTTATGCATGTGCTTTGCCATGTTCCTTGAAAAATGAGCAATGCTGGGCATGATAAAGCTAATAATGATGTATGTAACTGAATGATTATTAGCAGAAGGAGACACGTTTTTGTAAAATTTCACAGGTGTAAATACTGCTGAAAGAGGTGGTGATTAATACAGAGTGATTTGTTTTGTAATATGTGCTTCATGGCTCAAGATGTTTCAATCTAAGTAGCCTTAAAAAAAAAAAAAACCAAAACCTTCTTGTGGGTATTTAATCTTTGAAGCAGGTGTGGTTTGCAGTGCTTAGGTTAAGATAACTCTGTCTGGATGCATCCCAAGTTTCTTCAGATAAATTACTGTTAAGACAATGGAGAAAACAAGTTTGCATAGAATTCTCTTTTTTTGCAGTGCTTTGTCCTTGCTTGTGTGGCTTTGAAAATCAAAACTTGTTTTCCCCTCTGATTCCTTTGCTGATGATGCCCTTCTACTGAATTTCTCAGAATAACAACAAACAAAAATATTAGCTTTCATGCTGTCTAAAGAAATGTTTGATAGCCCCTTATCTATCTTCAATATGCTGTGCTTATTTTCTTTCAGTTACACATTTGCATCTGGTTCTCCAGATAACATTAAGCAGTGGAAATTCCCGGATGGAAACTTCATTCAGAACCTCTCTGGTCACAATGCCATTATCAACACACTGACTGTAAATTCAGATGGAGTTTTGGTCTCAGGAGGTAAATAAGAAATTGCACATTTGTATTCCTTCCCACTCGCTTCTCAAAATGTACGTGTGACTGAAGGATCTTAAGGTCAGGACCCCTTAGCTCTCTTGGGCTTATGAACCTGCTATAGCCTACATCTTCATTTTGAACGAAGTAGAATCCCTTATATTTTTTGGTGCTGCATGCCCAAAAATGTCTTTGAAAGCAATCTGAAATGCACAAGTCTGCAGAGTCCATCCTATGTGATCTCATGAGTTTGAATTACAGAATCACAGAATTGTAGGGGTTGGAAGGGACCTCCAGAGATCATCGTGTCCAACCCCCATGCCAAAGCAGGTTCCCTACAGCAGGTAAATTGTTTAATATCCCCTCAGAAGACCAGAAATTGGACTCTGACTGGGACACATGTGTCACGTTGGCTGCTCTGTTAGTGGCAGTGAGAATGGATGGAGGATGTAGAAAGCTTGTTGTGCTGCTTAAATCTGAGCACATCCTTGAGTTGTGTGCATACCTTTGGTTGGTTGTTTTAAAGTAGATTAGAAAGTGATAACGTATTGCTCCAAATTACTGGCAGGGCCTGAGCTTCTACCTCTTGGTTTTGTTTGTCTGATCTTTTGATTGTAAAGAAGACTCAATTAACTTTTCAGTTTAAGACAGATTTCACGGGGTTTCTCAGAAGCAGATTCTTAAGAGAAGCAACTGTTCTCAGAGCAGCTCAGTTACAGCTCAGTGCTTCCAACTGGTTTGACCCCATTTGATACACTGTGTCATGTAGTCTGGAGCTGGGGAGTGAAATGGAAATGCATTAAGTAGGAGTTGTGGAAGGGAGCTAATTATATTGCCAGCCTACCGTGGCTATGTTTTTAACAGCGTATCAAGGGCACTCTTGGTTTTAAAATGTTGTCAGGGATATCTTTGACAACTGGTGCATTCACAGTGAGAGCACAAACTTCTACCAAATACTGGACTGATCTCAGACTTAGTTCTGTGTTATTTTGAAGGCATTTCTAAAAGGTCCTTGTAGACTTTAATGCTGTTGAGGCTTTCAAAAAATCTATTACTTCTTCATGCTAAACAAACAAACAAATGCTGTTATTTTAGTGATTATCTGTGATTCTTTTAAAAATTAAAATTTGAATATAATTCTCATCCCCTTGTACATCTCCATGCTACTTACAGCAACCTTATAGAAGTTTGGGCTGACTTAAAATAAGTTGAGGTTATCTTAAAGTGTCTTACCTTGAAAACACCCTCTTGAAATATACAGATTTCTTGTCGAGCTGGCAGCTATGGAGAAAGAAAAGGTTTAGATTTGGTTTGGCTAAATTGGCTAAATTACTGTTGGGGTAAAATTGCTTTTTAATTGAAAAAATAATTGCTTTAAGAGTATCCTTCCAAATACAGATTTCAGATTGAATATCCTGCTGCCACTAGCCGTTGCAGCAGCAGTAGTTTGGAGTGATATTTGAAGTAGATCCTGTACAACTGATAGGTGTATGTCTCATTAACAGGTTCCTTAATGTCTGTAATTTCCTTGGAGGCATGATACCTCAATTTTAATGGAGCTACTGAGCACAGAACTTAATGTTCAGAATACCAGTCCTTTCTTTGCTTCCAAAGCAACGTACTGCCTTCTGGGCTATTTGATTCAAAATGGGATGAGATTTTGAGGAAGCCTCACCAGCCTGCTTAAACAAGATCAGTCTTCCTTCTTAGCTAAGGAAAACAGGAAACCTTATATGATGTTACTTGCCCTTGCAGCCCAGAAAGCCAACTCTATCCTGGGTTGCATCCAAAGAATCGTGGCCAGCAAGTCCAGGGAGGTAATCCTGCCCCTCTGCTCTGCACTGGTGAGACCTCACTTGGAGTACTGCCTGCACATGTGAAGTCCTCAGTGCAGGAGAGATGTTGGAGCACATCCAGAAGAAGGCCACAGAAATGATCTGAGGGGTGGAACACCTCTACTGTGAGGCCAGGCTGAGAGAGCTGGGGCTGTTCAGCATGGAGAAGAGAAGGCTTTGGGGACACATGAGTGTCTTAAGGGGAGCTATAAAAAGGGATAGACTCTCCAGCTGGTTTTGTTGTGGTAGGACAAGGGGAAATGGTTTCAAAGTGAAAGGGGGGAGCTTTTGATAGGATATAAGGGAGAAATTTGATACAATATGGGTGGTGAGGCACTGGAACAGTTTGCCAAGAATGTGGTGGATGCCCTTTCCATTCAAGGCTGGACAGGCTCTGAGCAGCCTGATCTAGCTGTAGGTGCCTTGTTCTTTGCAGGGGAGCTTGGCTAGATGGCCTTCATAGGTCCCTTCCAACTCGGACGATTCTGTGTCCCTGCTGTGCTTGGAATGTTGCTTTCAGTTTTGGACTCGAGCTCTTTGCTACAAGAATGGTATGGAGTTGCTCAGACATGTGCAGTGAAGAGACTATGAAACAAACAGTATGAGAAGTGGCTGTGGAAACTTGTTCACAAGACTGTTTTTAGAAAAATGGCAGAAATGAACTGGGGGAAATACTAATTACGTTTTCTTTGGTTCGTTTTTAGCTGATAATGGTACTATGCATCTTTGGGACTGGAGAACTGGATACAATTTCCAAAGAGTGCACGCAGCTGTACAGCCAGGCTCTTTGGACAGCGAATCGGGAATATTTGCTTGTGTTTTTGACCAGTCTGAAAGCAGGTTGCTAACTGCTGAAGCTGATAAGACCATAAAAGTGTATAAAGAAGATGATACTGCGGTACGTCAGAGTGTCTCTTTTATGTCTTTTCATGAAATCACCAGATTTGAAATAAATTTTAGGCACATCAACAAGGAACATGTGTACACCCTGTGGAATCTGCTCTGTTCGTGTTTGAAAATAATGTGTGTGCATGAATCTGAAGAGGACAGCAGCTTCCTCCTAATTTCTTATCGACTGCTGTAGAGCAAAGAAGTTGCATGTGCATCAGCTCTTCTGCACAAATCATGTACCATTAAATTTGGACAAAACTACCCAAAATAATAATGTGCTTTGTGTTCTGAAGGTGCTAAGGGATTTTTTATTGTAATCATTAAAACATGAATTAGCAAGATTACATTCTGTATATGGTATTTCTGTATATGATATGGGTTAAAAATTGTCCCAAACAAACTTCTAGCATTTAGAGTAAGTAGAATATTTTCAAACTGATGTTTTCAACTCTGAGTCCATTTACCAACATGGAGGAGAATAGATTGTAGGTTATCAGAGTACAAATAATGTAGTGAAGTATACAGTGTAAAGATTTTTTTTTTAATGTTTATTAAAGCTTTTTGTTCAATTTTGGGATTGCTGCATTGAATTAGACTTCGAGCAACTCATTTTGCTAGTTGCAAACTGTAGGCACTGTGACATTTGCCAAAATCTGTGTGTGTCAGTGGAAGGACTGACTGTTTAATTCCTACTTCTGTGCTTTGATCACTACAGAGTTTTTTCTGAACTGCTACTGGCAACTTTATGCTCAAAAAAAAAAGAGAAAAAAAAAAAAAGGCAGGAACAAATTCTGCTGTGTCTTCCAGGCAGGAATGATAATGTAATTTAACTTGCTTAAATGAATTAGGTAGCTGTAATGTTGTGTATATGTCCTATGTAAGTAATATTTTAGACTAACCTCTAATTACAGATTAGTCTTGAGTTAAAATAAAAAATAAAAATCCTTACGGAGGTTCTGTTCTTCCCTTTTAGACTGAAGAAACTCATCCTATCAGCTGGAAACCAGAAATTATCAAGAGGAAGCGATTTTAATGCGACAACACACTTGTGCTATGATTTTTTTCTGGCTTTTTCGAGAGCTTTCAGTCACATGTTCTGTCTACAACAGAAGAGCAGGAAGTCAGCAAATCTGTGCTTTTTCAGTGTGTTTTCTAATAAATTTCATTTCTTCCTTTTTGTCTTTTTTTGGGTTGCGTGATCCCAGCAAACAGGTTGCAGCTATCAGCCTTCTCTTTGGCTGCACGCATGTGGAGCATGTGTGGTTCATGGAGAGGATAAATGTGCAGGTGGTTGCTTTTTTATATGCCTCTACTGAGCGTGAATCTGAAAAGATTTGGTGAGCTGGGTTTTCTGCAAGACCCTTGCTTTGCTCCAAAAGTAGCTGAGTTTACCATAGAGTCCATCTACGGGACATTTATTGAGTGGCACTTCTAGATTTTAGAGCCATGTTGTTTACTGTGTATGTGCTTAGTAAATACTGTAATGGAACGTTACGTGTGCTAAAGTACAGAATGAGAGATTAACCAATAAAGATCATGGCATAATACAGTAATGTGGTTTCCTTGGAAAGCAGCACTCTGGCTGCTAACACATCCCCAGTGGCTGTGTTATTAAATGAAACTGATTTTCCAAGTGATTGATTTTCTTTCCCTAGGAAAGCATTCAGTATGCTACTTCATATCTTTGCTTATTTCGTTTTGCAGTGGACCTGATAATAATGAAAGCCACTGTCAAATTATATGGCTTTGTTAGCACTGGGTTAGACCAGTCGACTTGATAAATCACGTCTTGCTTTCTTTCAGTTATCTGAAGTATTTGTGACATTCAATTACAGGGAACTTAAAAAACTGAGGTCTGAAGAAGAGCTCTTAAGTGATTCCAGCCATGGTTTTATTTATTTTTGACTCCCTGTGATCTTAGGATTTAAAGCATGGATATGCACGTATGTATGAAAGTTTACTGACACTCCTGAGGGGACAGATGTGTCATTGTATTTACAGTCATGCAACTAGCAGTAACCACGGAATGCTCTTTGCTAAGCTTCTCTTTGGTGTCAGTACTGTTCTTCATCACCTGCTAAACTTTGTTCTTCGGATTGCTACACTTGAGAACTAAATAGGAAAGGATGGGAATGGCATTGTTCTTAGAGTTATGAAAAATAGAAAATTTTTAAAAATATGGATTGAAAACAAGCATTCACTTTATGAACAACCATAATAATTTCAGTTCACTTAAAATAACTTCCAGGAATTTTAAAAATTCCATTTCAGTTTCTTGTGATGTTTAGAAGTGACGTTTCAAGAGGAGATGGGAAGGAGAGAGTGAATACAGTAATGTGCTCAGTCCCCTTCAAACTGCTTGTCTTTTGGTGTCTGCCTGGTCAGCAGTTTCTCGCTCATACAGCATTAGTTTTCTTGCTGTCCTGGAGCATGGAGAACAATGCACTGATTATTCTTTGTAACAAAAAGAAGAAAAAAAAAAAAATGCTAATAGAGGATATTTCCAGGTTGTATCAGACACCTTTTATTTGGTTGTAGCACAGCACTTCTTTTATATCATCGCATCTGTTTTCATTTTAATTAATTTAATGGGGGAAAATGTAGATTATGGCCTGTACGTGTTTTGCACCTGTTGCTAGTGCTTTGTTCCAGAAATCCATGAAGCATTTTGGTGTTAAATAGAATTTTATTGCTTGTAGTTAATTTCCTATAGGAAACCAGCGTGGAGAGGAATAACTTGGAAGAGGGTATTTTTTTGTAGTCGTCTATTTTTAACAGAAGTGTCTGTTTTGATGACTTGGGAGCAGTGAGTAGAGGTTTTCGCTCTGTTCTTGCACATCTTTTCTGTACTTGGTATCATTTTTTCCACTGTTTGTCACTTAGAAAAGAGGAGAAAATTCCTCTGCAGAGCCTGTGTTTCGTCCCTGCAGGAATTCACCAGCACAGGAGCAGCAGTTGCCACAGTGTTCACTGTAGAGCTGGTGGTAAAGACGTGGTTTGATGTGAAAGGCTGTGTCACCACTGTTCTGAGCTGTACTTTTCCCTTTGGGCTCTGTGTACACTGTCCCAGCTCTAGTGTGACTTGTTTTTTTCTCAGTGTGTTCTTTGCCATTTGATTTGCACATTCCTTTCCTTCCCAGCTGTTTTTTCTTTCACTAATGTGAATAATATCATATATACTTATGTAAATACTGAGACATCAAGATTCGTTTAAAAAAATAAAGTTCATTTAAGTGCTTCTGTAATGCAAAGCTCACCAAGATGATGAGCTGATGCACACAAATCTGATTGTGTGGGATGCACAGCGAGATTACACTTGTCCACACAGTCATAAGGTAAAGCTAAACGTGATCCTTGGAATATATTTTCCATGCTTTGGTAAGTGCCGTGCTGCAGTGTCAGTTGAAGTAATTTGGAATTGGACTCTCATCTCAGAAAATTGGCACACTAGATGAAATCTGATGTCTCCTGAATATGATCAAATCATAAACATTTCTAACGCAAACCTTGGGTTTTGTTTTATACTGTACATAATTGCACAGAAGTAAGAAAATGGGTTTTTCCAATGCAACAGTTTTTAAGAACGTGTAACCACTAAAAGTGATAAATTCTCAGATCACTCTGCTGTATAATAAAGCAGACAATAAGCTCAACGGCTAGAGTGCTGTCATTTGCTGGAGCCCAAAAGTTGTGACCACAGTATGTATTTGGCAACCTGAAGGCTTAAGAACTTTAACAGGCATTTGGTTGGTCCAATTAGATAAGGATTAAAGCGTCTGCCTGATGTAAGTGACAGCATTTTAGCCATCAATAAAACCTTCAGTATAATATGATTTTGTGTCTTCCTTTCCCACTTGCGCCAGTAAATCCAATCAGTCAAAGGAGTCAGTTTTGTTTTTGTTAACGCTCTTTTAGCAGGATTTGAAGCTTGTGTGAAGATGACTTTCTATGGAAAATGTTCCTTAAGGAGAATACATAGTTAGTGAATTGCTTCATTCCTTTGAGAGCAAACAAGTCTTTGATTGCAGTGAATTTGAAGGCTGTTTGAAGGCACGGAGAAGCCATCTCCTTTGTAAAGATGATCCTCAGAACTGTGGTGTATGTGGGGGACTCTACATTTCTCTCTGCTCTTTCCAGTAAGCTTTCATAAATGAACTCTCCAATAGAGGCGATTGCAATCTAATTGCCTCTATGAATGCTCTCCTATCTGCATTTTTCCTATGCTTAGGAAAGGAAATAATAAGCTGGTTGGGATTCATTCAGTATTGTAACTTTTGTCTACTGTATGTCAGAAATTTGTAGATGATCAGCATGAGCATTCATGAGTTTTGGTGTTGGAAATGATGTTTTCTGGCAAAGTGATGTCTAGGCTCACCATGAGGCTTTGCTCTTCAGAACGTCTCTGAGCCACTGCTGTATGGCAGCACTCATATTTTAACAGCTATATAAAGCTCTGGGCTTTGCTTTTGATGGTAACGTTGGAGTTTCTAGATGCAGAGTTATTTATTGTTGTGGGTTGGTTGGTTGGTTTGTTTCTCCAGCTTTAAAATCGGCCTCACTTTGTCTTTTCCAGCTGAATGTAAATTGGAACACAAGGAAATACTTCACAACACCAGGTCAGCTTCTCTCTTTCAATCAGGCAGTGGAGCTGAGGAGCGATGCGAGCTCATAGCTGCGGAGCTGTGTGCTGCCCAGGTGTGCTGCTGCTGGGAGGCAGTCGTGAGATAGAGTGTGTGCAATCAGAAACTTTTGTGCCACGTACAACAGCGTCTTTTTCTTCTTTTTCTAGTAGAAGATATTACGAATGTTAACATGACTTAACTATTTCCAACTAAATCCCTTTGACAAGCAGGCTTCCTGCATTGACAGCTAGAGATCGAGCTCAATAAAATCCTAGAATTACAGAATCACTCAGGTTGGAAAAGACCTTAAAGATCATCGAGTCCGTGACCTAACCATGCTACTCTAACTAACAGCCCTCCCCTAAATCATTTCCTTGAGCACCACATCCAAATGGTTGTTGTCACCATCCAGTGATGGTGACTCAGCCACCTCCCTGGGGAACCCAGTGAATTCCAGTGCTTAACAGCCCTTTCTGTAAAGAAGTGTTTCTTGATGTCCAACCTAAACGTTCCCTGGCGCAACTTGAGGCCATTTCCCCTCGTCCTGTCATCAGTGAGAAGAGACCAGCCCTGCTTTCGCTGCAGTCATCTTTCAGATGTTGGAAAAGAGCAATAAACTCTCACCCCAGGCTTCTTTTCCCTAGTTTGAGCAGCCCCAGTTCCTTCAGTCTCTCCTCACAGGCCATATTCTCCAAGCCCTTCACCAGCCCTCTTGCCCTTCTCTGGACCTGCTCCAGCACCTCCATGTCCTTTCTGTACTGAGGTGTCCAAAACTGAACACAGCACTCGAGGCGAGGCCTCACCAGTGCTGAGTACAGAGCAGGATGACTTCCCTGGTCCTGCTCACCACTCCATTCCTGATATGAGCCAGGATGCCATTGGCCTTCTTGGCCTCCTGGGCACACTGCTGGCTCACATTCAGCCAACTGCTTATCAGTACAACAAGGTCCCTTTCCATCAGGCAGCTTTCTGGGCACTCCTCCCCAAGCCTGTAGGGTTGCCTGGGGTTGTTGTTACCAAAATGCAGGACTTGACACTTAGCCCTATTGAAACTCACACAGTTTGTCTTGGCCTATCGATAGATTAGTAATATAGAACATGAATAGAAAAATTCCATACAAAAATTTGAATATGACTGCCAGATGAGTCAATTTTCATGTCTTGCAAGTATATCTATAATTTCCTGCTCATTCCATTTCTTTTTGTCCCATGTGACATGGTAATAAAGATGTTTCTTTCTAAGAAAGCTTGGCAAAGCAAATCTACCAGAATCGATCCATTCTGCTAATGACTGTGTTCTATTTTGGAACTGAAAATTCCACTGAATGAGTTTTATTATTCCATGCTGCTCTAAATTAGCCTATTAAACACATACAAATATAGTCACTGAACCAAGCGCACTGTGATAGCTAAATGAAATTATAGTTACAATGTTTCCTGCTAAATTAAACCCTTTTGAGGAGGGTATTGCTCATCCTAAATAAACCTCTGTTAGTTTGGGAGTGGGATTGCAAACGGCCTTTAAATACGTCATGGAGATGAGAGCTGCACTCCTGGTGTTCTCCACTTTCATTGTGCTGTTGGTACATGCAGCTGCCAGGTCAGTGATGCATCTTTTCTCCCAATGCTAACAGAGGATAACCACGCTTAGCACAGCACAGTGAGTTTCAGGCTTTAACCCACTGAAGAAAGCATCCATACGCTTTCTGGTAATGCAGCCCCGTGATCTATGACTGTACATCTTTTAAAGGAGTGTTCTCAATTTCTTCTTCATTTTTTTAGGCAACTGTTAACTCTAATGGGATGAACATTGCTACGAAATTGGAAGCCATCTCTAGCCTGTATCTCCAGCTTGATTTGTTATGACCTGGCAATTCCTTTCCTTCTTCCCTTTTCCATCATCATAGAATTGAGTTGGAAGGGACTT